GAAATATATTTATGTTTGTGGTTGTAATGTGACAAAATATGGAAAAGTTCAAGGGGTATGAATACTTTTGCAAACCACTGTAATTATTTTTCAAATCTGACTCAGATCTTTGTCATGTGTGGTCCTAAATCAGATTCATATTTGATGTTTTTTCAACTTTTACCTCATTGAGGTAGGATATAAAGATCGATACAGATACTGATACCAACATGATGCAATTTAAAGTTTGGAAATCCATGTTTTCTGTTACAGAAAAGACATCCAGTTGCTTAGTCTTTTTTTAACTTTCTAGATGTAGCATGAATGAGATTTTAGACCAACATATGACGCTAACAGGGGTATACCAAAGTTTTGAACTGTATCAATACTATAATGACAGGATCGATATTTGAGTACAATTCTGCACCTGAGAGGGCAGGAAGTTGCAAGATCAAACGTAATTATTGGATTAAACACACAGAAGATATTAATTTAGTCGACTCTGATTGCACAACAACTGCAGCACTGCTTCACACATGCTAACACGAGTAGCATCCATATCAGCTCATGTAAACAACGTCGTTTTGTCTTCTTCAGCTCCTCGCTTCAGGGCCTGGGTACTGTTCACACTATAGTCTGATGGAAGTTGCATGTAAATTATGTCAATAAACACCTAAATAATAATAATAAAAAAAAATAAGAGCGAAATAACAAACACACACATTACAGAGATTCAGAATTCTGCTTACCGGAAAGGGAGGGCGTATTAGGGTCGGGAACATTGACCTCATTCGGAATAACAATCGGAGGAATTGGCAGCTGCACTTTGTCATCTTCAGACCCCCACCTACTCTTCCGTTTTCGTTTGACTGGCGGCGTTTCCAACTCCTGACTGTGAAGCACGGGTGTACTGTTGAGCAGCGGAGAAACTCCGGGTCGCTGAGCGTCTGTCCTAAAGTCTGCTGCCGGAGGTGAAGAGCTCTGGGAAGTTGCAGTGTGGAACTCCTGCAGTTTCTCTTTGTAGAGCTGGTAAGCTGGACTTTGGTGGTCATATAAAAAGCTGAAAAGGAAAAAATAAATTAAACTAATATAGGTATATAAAATGTTTCTGAATAATAAAAGGTTATCACAGATATGGTAAGGACCTGAAGGCTGGGTTCTCTCGGTTGCGCTCAACAGCAATTTCTTCCACCTCGGGGCCGCCTTCTGCCACAAACTTGGCCAGATTTTCAATGATTTGCAGGGTTTCCGCGTCCACTGGGGGGGAGACTTTAAGCAGCCTATTAGTACTGGGACTCAATTCACACTCTACTACTGTATCGTACTCAACTGGCCCTCACACACCACCAGTCTAGAGCCAATAGGGAATAAGAGGAGGAAAAGGGGAGGAGGAGCAAGGGGGGAGAGGGCTGGTGAATGGGGAACTGTTTGAATGTGAGGTTTTTACTACAATCAATAAAAACACAAATAAAGCCATGACCCCGCGCCACACACACATACAAACTGCTCACAGTGTAAACATTGTATTTGTGTGCGTAACGGTAAACAGAAAAAACAGCCTACATCTTTAAAAACAGATTTTGGCTGATGTTAACTTAAAAATAAAGAAAATGAAAAAAAAATCAGATCAGAGGCAGTTATTGACAGAAGATGTAATTTTACCATTATTTGATTTATTCTCAGCTCTCTCCAAATCCTTCTTCAATTCTGCAACTTTTTTATTGTAGTAGAGATACTCCATGCTGCTCTTATCATATAAAAACCTAAAGGAGAAAGGTAACAGGAAAAAGTGTGAAAATACTGTGAGAAAACATAAGCTTGATTGAGCCACATTGTCCTTTAGACTTACGAGAAAACGGGATCGTCTTTGTAGTCCTCCTTAGCTTTCTTCTCCAGCTCAGCTCCTCCTTCTGCCACAAAAGAAGCCATCTTGTCGATGATGAGTCTGGTGTCTGAATCCTCTGGGGGAGAGACTTTAAGCAGGCTATGAGTACATTTACTCAAAAGGCACATAAGAAAAAAATGCAAGTGTGCCCCTGGAGTTTGACGAGAACTCAATAAAATGTCCAAGCTCTGACGTGTCCTAAGACACACTGAAAAACACAGGCCTTGAATTACCTTTCATCTCTAAGAATCTGGAGTAATTTGTCTCTTCTTCATCTTCATCATCCGTTGAGCAAAACACATTTGGTCTCTGGCTGAGAACAGGACTCTTCTTAGACTGAGACAAGCTCTTGTATTGACTAAGCATTTTGTTAACTTTAAGGGTTGGCCGCTGGCCAACAAATACGCTCTTTTTCTGCTGAGAGATTCCTCCTGGAGATGAAGCTGAGACTGAGGGCGTTGTACTATAACTGGAAGAATCTACAACAAAAACAAAAACAAAAAGGATATGTTTTAGAAACAACTATTGTATTACCCTTGACATTATCTCTGGTATTCTTTCATTTCTAACATGTTTATTCCTCAATCAAAACTTACATACTGCTATCAAAAAAGTGGTGTAATTTAGTTGAAACTGTACTGACAAGGACTTTTTCCCCAGGTTCCCTGGATTTGTGTGCCTTTTTAAATATCCTGTGCTTAAGTTCACATCACACATCTATTAATTACCTTTATAAATCCATGTATTACATAAACCAGAACTACAATACCATGTGTCCAAGCACTCCTCTAGCTCTGCCTAGTTGTACCAAATAAAGAACAGGTTTTTTTCTAAATTAAATCACTTGTTTTGGGAAAAGATACAAACTTTAGAACATTATGATACTTATTAAGAAACTAACCAGATGTATTATTAGACTTCTCTTTCTGCATCTTCATGAACTGCTGCAAGAAGCTTCCATCGTTTGCAAATTTGTTGGAAGACGCTCCCTGTGGACTGGGCAAACTGGAGGGACCAGGAAACACAGAACATTTATGAAAACACTGTAATAAAATTCAGATCAGTGTTGTCACGACAAACAATATTCATTCACTACAGTATTTATGTCTTATTACACGGACTACCAAACACGGTCCTTGCAAAACGCACTGATTTATTCATAATGAATGCTTTTGCATCCTTGTCACATTATTGTTTGCAGTACCTCGAAGGTAGGGGCTTGCTGGCGATCTGCGCATTCAGTTTTGCCTGCTCTGCCATTCTGGCTTCAATCTCCTTCTTCTTTTCAGCAATTAATTTCTCTTGACGAAGAATATTCATGGTCATCTTGTTTTTCTGTGGCTGGCCTGGTCTGGACGTCCATGATCCTCCTCGCCCTGTAAAATATTTGAAAATCTAGTGTTAGATTAGACATGAGAAGGATTGCAGAAGAATGAAACCCATTTTACAACAGGTCTTTTATTAAGTATGATCATTTTTACAGTTTTAACAGTTTATTATTAAGTTACAACATTAATATTAATTTCACATAAAAGGCTTTAAGCTACAAATAAAGCACAAAATAATTGCAATACTGCTCTGATGATCAGTCAGTTTTACTGCAGTATGATAGTTAGTAGCTTCCGCCGACATTCAGTATTTTTAATGTTAATAGTCTTTAAATGGCATAAGGTGCTTGCTAGTTTAAGTTAGACTTAATTATCAGCTATATACTCCAGACTTCTTGTTTACGCCAGCAAGCCAAGACAGTGCGACAGCTGCGACATAAAAGCTAGTGACTGGCAAAGCTAACTCGCTTACGTAATCATTAAAGCTCAAATATATTTAGATACTGTCTACAGACATAATAAACATTTACCTGTACCGCTAGACTCCATGGTCGTAGTGGGAATGAATCAAACCTTTTAAAGCGACCAGGCCTTGCTTTAGCACTACAATAGCAGCTAACTCATAACATTAGCATCACAAAAGTTCAGTTTCCGCTCGTAGCAACGTTTCACAATAAAAGCATTTTCTCCGCTGCAATAACCGAACACAAATCCCCTTCTTTACACAAGCAGTTGTCCTATAATTTTTAATATGAGATTTTAACAATTATACTCAGATTCTAACTAACATGCACATGAAAACGTATTTGGACGCAATGGCAACCTATGTACACTATAAGATACCGGAAGTTATTTTTTCTGTAGCATTTCAAACTTGATACGTTTGACGCATGCTCCGTGTGTTTCCGTTTTTTTTTAATCGTGCCTTTTCCGAACGCAAAAGTCGTGTATCTTTTTTGTCCCTTGTTGGTTCCCGTCCGTACTCATCGTGCTGCTTAGCTGCTAGAAATGGCCGAAGCTTCATCACGGCCCTGCCGGTTTTTTTGTCACCGGTGTTCAGAAGAGATTACTCCACGTTTACCGGTAAGAATCCTTGGCTCACCTTCGCCAGTTTAAGTTGTGAGATATTACGTTTCAGCTTGTGGTTGTCAGAGCTCAGCGAGTCTCGTCCACATCCATTGCTGCTATACGCTAAGTCCTTCAGGCAGGCAAAAGGTGTAGTGTCAGTAAAGTTGTGTTGTATCGCGTTATAACCGTGTGCTTTATTTATCTAGTTTAAAGACCATTGTATCATAAATAGGCATTATGCCTAACTCGACAGTTTTACCATAGTTGTATATTGCAATGTTAACTTGCTAACTGAATGATATGTTTCTTTTCTTTGTTATGGTTTGATTTCTTTCCAACAGCCACAKACAGTTGTTATATAGCATACTAAAAGTAATAAAATAAAGTAAAACTTGCATTGTCACTTCTTTTAAACTCAGTATTGTGACAACAGCTTGGCAGCCTGACTCAGGCCCCTGTTGACAAGCTTTTCATGAGAAGCTTCTTGATTGTTACAGTACCTTTTACTTTAGTCAGCTGTTTACTTTCTGATGTTTACAATTCTCAAACGTGTTAGAGCCGAATTTAGCTGCTGGTATATTCACAAATGATCATGAAGTTGAGTTAATAACATTTAAAATTAAGCTATCCTAAGACAAAAAAAAAAAAATTCTGCTGTTGTAGAAAACATAGACATTTGTTTGAACAGATGTTTAGACAAAAAGTATATTCACTTGTAGTTTTGCTTTTATTTGTAGGACTACACATGTCCGGGTTGTGAGTCTGGTTTTATTGAGGAGTTGCCTGAAGAAAGAAGGTAAGAAGTGTTGCTGTTCTTTTTGAAATGTCATGTTTTTGTGTATTAATGTGTGTTTTGTTACATGGTCCAGCAGTTCTGAAAATGGATCTGCATCTTCTTCCTCTTCCAATGATCAGAACCGCCCCACCTTTGAGGTTAGTGTAAAACCATAAACTACTGAGATTAAAAAAAAACAAACATTGCACCCTGCTACATGATTTGACTTTGCCTTTTTGTCTTCCTTCTAGAACGTAGACCATCATCACTTATTTGCATTTCCCCCCGGCTACGGTCCGTTTACCCTTGGGATTTTTGATGAAAACTTTGACCTTCGAACTAGGCCAAACACAGAAGACAACCAAGAGGCCGAAACCAGGAGAGAAAGGGAGATGGGCTCACGGGAGCGATACGGTGCGAGGCAGCCGAGGGGTCGACATGTGCCTCGACGACAGGGTACGCGCCACGAAGGAGTGCCCACATTAGAGGGGTGAGACAATTTCAGCCGTAGTGCAGGAAAAACAATTCTGCATCTTACAAGAACCAATGGTATTTTCATTTTTTGTGCTTAAAATACATAATAATGAGCTTTATTATGTTAGATTATATAGGACGCTAAAGTGATGGATATCATATCTTACCAAACACTCTGTAGCTAAGGTTTTGTTGTATACCAAAGACGGTGTTACTACGGATGAGGAGTCAAAGTACTGAGAGTGTCGGTCAATAATCCTCCTAGATCAGGGTTCATGCCGGGTCTTAAAAAGTCTAAAAAAGTCTAAAATTCAAAAATCAAAATTTTTGGCCTAAAAAAAGTCTTAAAAATGCCCAGATTTTCACCCAAGGTCTTAAACTTAATTTTGACAGGTCTTAATTTTTTTCTACATTTGATCATTCCTGAGAACCGTTGGCTGCATAAATAAAGAAAGTTAAGAGTCGTAATCAGAGGTTGACACGATCTGTCTTCATGAAGTGCTAAGTTTGCTACTGGTCATGATTAAGCTACAAATCCCATGATAACTGCAGGCAAAAATGTCACAGTTTACTTCCATGTTTTTGACCTCTTTGCTGCTACAACCCCCCACATACAGTGGCTTATTTACCTGCTCAAAAAACAGAAGTTCAGTCATGTCCACTGCTTGTTGTTTAAACATGGGAAAGTGTGTTTTCAATGAGATTTCAACTTGATATCAGTGATTTTTTTCACTCAGTTGAAAGCGGTTCACAGCAGTCAGATATGACCGTTTCATTCAAATAATTTATTGTTCTTGTATTAAAATTAAATATTCTTTAATAACTAAATTGATAGCAATAAAATGTTTCTATTATAAAATTTCTGGGACCATTTGAATGTTTCTGTTAATGCGTCGACTTGGTCTTAAATGTAATTACTAATGGTCTTAAGGTCTTTAAAAAGTCTTAAATTTAACTTACTGAAACCTGCATGAACCCTGTCCTAGATTCTCTGAACTGAAAGCACTCTGAAAGGTGCCCACTGCACGTGAGACACTGGAAATCCAAAGTAGACTAATATCTATAAGGTATGCTGCAAATTGTCCAAGTGCTCTTAATATTGACCGCAGCAACACTACAGTCTCACACTAAATACAAAAATATAATTTGTGCATCGTTATCATTTCAAAAAAGCACGTTCATTGTGCTGGTTAAACAAGAATATTCATCTTGCGTTTCAAGTGAAAGTTTAACTTAAGTGTTTTGACCTTTTATGCATTTCCTAAACATTTGTTGTTCATGTTGCTGCAGAGACGAACTGTTCAGAGATGAAATGTAGATTTTTATTTAGAGAGCAAAGTAGCTCAGTGAATTTGTGATGGTACACCAGTTCTTTTGTGATCATTTTAATTTTATTTTCCTAATGCAGGATTATTCAGCAGCTTGTAAATGGAATCATAGCACCTACAGCCATGCCTAATATCGGAATGGGACCATGGTAAGTCTGAGGTCCTGATGGTTTTATGTTGTTCTGCGTTAACCCTTTCAGTTTTTGCTCATTGCTCTCGTCTCACAGGGGTATGCTACATTCCAGTCCAATGGACTACGCATGGGGGGCCAATGGTCTCGATGCCATCATTACACAAGTAAAAACAAAATATTTATTCTTTCACTCATCAGTAAATTTATTCTTGATCTTATAGATAATCCAGGTGCCACTTTCTAACTAAATTATTAGAGTAGATATTCTTCAAAATGTGACTTTGTATCTTTATAATGCTTTTAGTCGTAGTTATCACTCATAGGACATTTTCCCACAAACATTCATTGATTGTGTTGTTTTTCATAGTTATTAAACCAGTTTGAAAACACTGGCCCCCCTCCAGCTGACAGAGAAAGAATAAAGACTTTACCGACCATTTCCATCACGCAGGAACACGTCAGTAAGTTCCTCTCAAAACGGTCTTCCCTTTGACGTCTATGTTTACATCATCGTGTTACTTCTGTTGTCACAAGGTTGTGAGTGTAGCCTCATGAGTTATATAATTTCTTAAAACAAACAGAACCAGCGTGAGACGACCTTTTTTTCTGTGTTCACTGGATCTGTGTGAGCCACGATCGCTTGGCATGCACGGACAGATGATGTGTCGTTTTGTGTTTGTACAGGTGCTGGTTTAGAGTGCCCCGTGTGCAAAGAGGACTACAGCGTCGAAGAGAGCGTTAGGCTACTACCATGCAATCATTTGTTTCACAATGACTGCATAGTACCGTGGCTGGAGCAGGTATGTGTGTCAATAATACGTCAACATGTAATAGAAGTGGCCTAAACAGAACATAATTTACACCAGGTGTTACAGCTAAATAAACCTGCAGCAGAGCAGGGTTCGACAAATCTATTGCCCGACTGTCCGGGGCAGGTAAATCTCATATTCGGACAGGTGGGTGTGTCCCAATGCCTGCCTGACCGGGCAGGTAAACAATTTCTTTTATTTTTTATAGGACCGTTTATTCAAAATATTCTGAAAATAAATGAAGAAATGTAGCGTTTTAAAACATGTATAGAAAGAATAAATCAAAAATTTCCCCCTCCCCTGTAAAATTTCCCCCTCCCCTGTAGAAAAGTTCCGTCTTGCCGTCGTGTCACGGGATCATTTCCTCCCTCCCTCCCGCTGCACGTTGCGCAGAACGAAGCTTTAACAACCGTAGTTTTTTCACCCAAGTTGTCAGAGGAAAAACTTGTTTTTTATGTATTGTTACCCACAGAGATGATAAAAAGATGTGGACGTTCGTTCAGTCATAAATCCATCTTGCTAATGTCGGCTTGTGCTCTGAGAGCGCAGAGCAGCAGCGGGTCAGTTCAACAGGCTCACTGTATGGCAGGCCAATGTTGCATTTATTTGGCTTCACCACGCTTACATTCCAGTTATCTGAAATTGTTTTATGACTAGATTAGACATGTTAGTTATTTAGGATAAAATAATAAAATGTTTCCTTTTATTATTTTGTTTTATTTACTTTTTTTATTTAGAGATCGTTCCAGCTTGAGCTTGTTTGTTTGTTGAAGTTGATTTTTGAAAATAAGGGGCACATATGATAGTTTTTCCTTCACTCTGCACCCTTTTAATTCAGGGTATGATTTACCTTTTTTAATGGTGTGCATAGATTGTTTTTTTTTATAAATGAAAGAAACAAACAAATAAATAGTCATCTCTTAATATATTTTGACAATTCAAAATACCTATTTAAGATATCTAATTATATTCTGACTAGTATAATTAATGTCAGATTTATCATTAAGTTGTATGGAGACTCCAGTTCAAGATATCTTAAATGTATCTTTAGATATGGGATCGGCCAAATAAGATTCAATGAATGCAAATTGCAGATTTCATGTTCTGTAAATTGTATTTAAAACAAAGCTGCTGTTGACCATTCTGTTTTTATAAGCAGCCCTCCCAAGGTCAGTACTCTAAGGGAAACACCGGAAAGGTCTAAAAAGTTTTTTGAATGTATTTTTGATCAAACAATTGACTGACTGTTAGGGACTCAGTCTGCATCTGCTAAATCAGATGTCGTATATTATGTACCTCTGTATAACCATGTTTAGTTTTGTAGTACAGATACTGTACACGTTTTTCTTATATTTTATCAAATTTTGAACATTTTTGTTTCGGGCAGGTAACTTCTCATGTCGGGCAGGTGACTTTAAAGAAACTTAGTATTTGGTCTTTAATCAAAGGTCTTTTGAAGATCCTCTTTGCCCTGGAGAGAAAGTGGCTGCTGGCAATTTTTGTCGATGGAGGGGAGAGGACAACCAGTTATTTCCTCAGCAGTCCGGATCGTCCCCTGCAGCTTCTTCTTGTCAGTGGTGACGGAGCCAGCGTACCACACAGTGATGGCTTTTGCAAGCACGCTCTCTTTGGTGGAGTGATAGAAGGTCACTGACAGCTTAGTCTCCCAAGTCGTTCCCTCTGAGTACTCTCAGGAAGTGGTGTCGCTGCTGGACCGCTGTGGTGTTGACCGACCAGGAGAGGTTTGCTGAGATGTAGGTCCCCAAGCATTTGAAGCAGGGGACCCTCTCTATGCTGTCACCATTGATGTAGAGTTGTGCAGGGGAAGTCTTGCTCTTCCTGATGTCTCCTTGGTTTTTAGGGTTTTGAGGGACAGGTTGTTCCTCGCACACCGCACTGCCAACCGCTGCTCCTCATCCCTGTATGCCGACTCGTCCCACCAGAGTAGTGTCATCTGCATATTTGATGATGCTGTTGGTGGAGTGAGAGGAGGTGCAGTCATGGGTGTAGATGAAGAATAGAAGTGGGCTAAATATTATCAGTGCTGGGCATAGATTAAAAATTTTAATTGAGATTTATCTCAAGATATTTTTGCGATTAATCTCAATTATTTTTTTTTAGAAACGATGACTTTACTATGGCTGAATGTATTCATTTGTATGTTGCAATACATGTGTGACATACAGTTTTTCTTTTGTTTTTCATTTTAACTTCTTATTGCTTCTCGTATTTTTTTCCTGTCAACTGGACAACTATCTCACATTTCTCATAATACTCATTTGGAATTACAAAAAAATCTTGAATTCTTGATTTAAGTTCATTATGCTGCACAAAATTTAATTGACTCAAATACGTTTAGAGCATTTTAGGTACTGTTTTATAAAAAAAGGGGCGATGTATTTTCAAAAACTTTAAACAAATATGGCAAATCAAGCCAGTCTTACTTTTCCCTCTTTCTCCCACACGCTGGTCAGCAGACCCTCCCTCTGTTTGTTTACACTGGTTTTAAACTGAAGTGATATTTCAGGCTCAAACCGCTGCGGTGGTGAGACAGTTTAGCTTTGCAGCACTTACAGAGAACTTTACTTCCTCCCAGCCCACCGTTGGGGGAAAGTTTTAGAATAAAAAATGCCCTGAAGAATCTGGCGGCTTCAGGCATGTTTCTGCCCCGGCAGCAGCTGGGGTTCACGTGAGCGACTGAACGCTCAACAACAAAGGCTCTCACTGGATGAGACGCGCGATGAAGGCTGTCTAAAGCCAATAGCGATCAAGATCCGGCCTCCCTGCAGCGACCACTGGGTTTGTGTGTGTCTGTGTGTGTGTGTTTTCACAGGCAGCACAGAGAACAGAGATCAGATGGAGAAATATAAAGAAACTGCGTTAACGCGCATTAAAAACATTATCGCTGTTAATTGTCGGCTGCGTTAACCCGATAACGCGTTAACGTGCCCAGCACTAATTATATTTAGTTCCATACTTAAATCATATAACATCTAAACTTGCATTATTGTCAGTTGTTAAAACTAAATGCTGGAATATTCTTGGAGTTATGATAAAGTTATGATAATGTGTGTTTTCTCTCTCTGACAGCACGACACGTGTCCAGTGTGCAGGAAGAGTCTAAGTGGGCAGAACACAGCCACAGACCCTCCAGGGTTATCAGGAATGAGCTTCTCTCCCACCTCGTCGTCGTCCTCTTCCTCCCCAAGCTCACCTAGTAATGAAAACGCTGCCAGCAACTCATAGACTTTCAACCCCCGCCCCTGCTGAGACCCAACAACTCCTCTCTCCAGCTGAAAYCAGGACAGTTTTATGTCTCAATTTTCAGGGACAAACGTGACTTTTAGTCTTCATTCCTCCCCTCTCTGTGCTGAATGGACCCCGGCTCCATCTGCTGCGGTGTTACTGAGTGAATCAGGACGTTGGATTGAGTTTAAATAAAGAATGTGAAAAAAATGGGATTGTTGTGACTAGGACCTAAGCAGAGTTTAAATCAGAGGGGACTGTGTTTCTTTCCACAACGCAGGGACACATTTTATATAAAACCTAAAAAGCTCTCACCTGCAATGGTTGACTCTTAATTTGATGGGAAGTTTATTTTAACTCTCAGCCACTGCATCTAGTGGATCAAACAATACTGGGGGGAAATATTTTGAGTTTATATGGCAGATTTTTTAAATTTATCTGCATCTTTATTTTGCACATTTTGTCTGATGATGAAAGTGAACTTGGTATGACTACTGTACAAAAACAAGCAAGATGTTTCCTTTTTGTTTTTATTAATTAAATAGATCCTTGACAATATTTTTCCCATGAAGTTTTAGAGCAGATTCCAATATATTTGCTGTATCTTAAAAAAGTGAAGATGATTGCAGTTCAGCAAACACAATTTTTAAATGATGTGTGCGTGTGTGTGTGTGTGTGTTCACCAAAACAAAATGAACAATGTAAAGAAAATAAAAAGGTATGGGATCATTTTACCTCTATAGAACTTGCCAAATTAATTCCACAAAACAAGTGTTTTATTTGCTGATTTTTTTTCTTTTTTTGTAAAATCACAATAAATTGCTAAAATCAATATATTTCAGACTTTTGTTCATCAAGTGTGGTTCAGACTGTGTGGAAAACTTCAGGTGCATAATGAGAACTCCAGCAACACTTGAATTAACTTGATTACTTCACTGATTGAACAATGTGTTTTTGTTTGTGGCACTAAGTGATTTTTGTATTTGTAGTGGTCAGTTTCACGCCTGTGAAGTGAAATGATGTGGGGGGATGTCATCAAATGTGAAAAAAGTGTTTAGACAAAAATTAAATCACTTTTTGTTGTGTTAAAATTGAAAAATGCCAAACTAGAAATAAAATAAATTTAACGTGACTTTACTTGTCCTGTGAAACCTACTTCATTTGATTCGAAACAAAGCTTTAAATCACATTTTAAAGGGGACATATCGTTAGCCTCATAGCATAATTGCCTGAGACATATTTGGTCACAAATGACTTAAGCATTTATGCTCTGAGGCTAACGAAATGCAAAATCCACTTTTTTTTAGCTGTTAAATACAGTTTATAGTGTACTTAGCTCTGGGAGTTCAGAAAGATTGAATTTAATCTCCCCAAGTGCATCCATATATTTATGTTCTTTTTGGGGTTTCAACCTGTTCAGCTCTCTTTATTTTCTGTTTTCTGAACTATCACGTCAAATTAATTGTGACACAATATCCAAATAAGGTCTGGACTTACCAACCACYCCTTCTCCTCTCCCTCAGGGTCAGATTCTGGCTCCAAGATGTAGGGCTGGCTGGACAAGTCTTCTGTTGTTGACATTTTTTAATTAAATTGTGAATAAAAATTTTCTGCACAGCTGTATAGTTGTAAAGTCCTCTATCAAAGTACAATGGACTGCTCTGGAAGCTGGAGGGGTGCAGGTTGTGAAGTGGATTGTTTGGACTTAAAGAAGAGGTATTATGCAAAATTGCTTTGTATTTTTATTTTTTAGCTTTATATCATGTTATGGGTGGCACAGTGGCACAGTTGGTAGAGCTGATGCTTCTCAGGAAGAAGGTCGCTGGTTCAAATCCCAGCCTGGGGACCTGTAGAGTCTGCATGTTCTTTCCGTGCATGCGTGGGTTCTTTCCAGGTACTCCAGCTTCCTCTCACAGACCAAAAAAACATGACTGTTAGGCTAACTGATGACTCTAAATTGTCCCCAGGTGTGAGTGAGAGAGTGAATGATTGTTTGTCTCTATGTGTAGCCCTGTGACGGACGTGTGACCTGTCCAGGGTGTACCTCGCACTGTGACTGCTGGATATGGACACAGAGACCCCCGTGTCCCTGAAAGGAAGAAGGTGGTATAGATAATGGATGGATGGTTTTCAGGCTTCTGCAGAACTTGGAAGAGGTAATTCACTGACTGAGTCAGGTGTGTTAGAGAAGGGTAAAAAGTAAAGCATGCAGGGCTGTGGCCCTCGAGGACCAGGATTGACTATCCCTGCGATGGACTATGATGCAAAGTCAGTTGTAATTTTAATATATACAGCATTTTCATAACAACTGAAGGTAAACCGTCAAGTTATACGAATTGTCTGTAATTTTCCTCATTTTGCAAGTATGTGGACGCAATCTCACAGATTTTTTTCAAGTTTTACAGATTTTTTTTCAAAAACTCAGTTTTAAATTTATCTAACATCTTAAAAAATGATAAATCACATCAAATAATCATCTTCCAACCTATTCTGCTGTTATGAATAAGTTCTTCTGTCCTCATTTCTTCCTGCTTTGCACTGCAGGTGCTGTCATCTCTGCTGTCAATAGTTTGCCTGTAAACACCCCCCCCCCCCCACGCGCATGATTGATATGGATTTTTTTGTGAAAATTATGGATTTTTGAGACTCATTATACTGGTAAACATCCGAAGGGGTTGACACATGTGGCAACATAACTAACTGATTGTGGTAAAGAATTTAACTCATGTACCTGGAAAATACACAATACCCCTCTTTAAAGAGACAGCATCAAAATGAGTTGCTTTGAGACACATCTCAGAACAGCAGTGCAAGAGTTGTGGAGTTACAATAAGGAGGAATTCAGACGAAAGCATTGCAGTTCCACTTTATATACAGTAGATCCAAACTGAATGATTTAAATGAGAGAAAGAAGGATTTGAAAAGCATGGCATAATGAAAAAAAAACTGCATAACACTTTATCTAAATAGCTTTTTTAGCAGCATATTTTGATCATAAAGAGTCCTTTCTGTGAGTTTGAAAGTTTTGGATTAAAAAAAAGCAAAGATAAAAAGTTAAACAGAAATGTGTATTACCCTCTAAATGATAGTTTATTTCTTGTTTGCAGAGTTATTATAGGTTAGTTTTGCAGACAAGAATGATTCATGTATTACAGCTGAAGCAGGTCTAAAAATGTCTCAGACAGAAGATGTTCTGTTGGGTCATCAGCACGTCATGCACAAGGTTTATGGTCTTTGTCATTATTTCTAGCAGATTTTGCAGCATTCTTCCTTCAGTAATCAGCTTGTTTAGTTTCTGAAGACACTGACTCAGAAGAAAACTGAACTTTTCACCAAGACTTATTTTCCCCTCATGACAGAWTCTGTTCTGTTGCTTCTTGTAAACAACCAGAGATGCATTTCCTGTTCAATCTGCTCTCTAGATCAACACCCAGGTGTCTCCACCATTAGTTTCTGAAAACAGTGCTTAATTCATCCCGGTGTTTACAATCTACTCCTCTGTCAGTTCGCAAGTCAACTGAAATTGTTTATTCTATTGTGACAAAACAGAAAACCAGTTTCCTGAACTCAAAATTTGTCACTGACTGAGCTGGGCTATTTAGTTTTTACTTTATCGAAATGAAAAAGGTTTTGTCTTGGTATAAATACAAACAATGAGTCACACAATTCAGACTGTGATGAAGTTTATAAAAAGCTCATGCCTACAGGTTTCAAATGACTGGATTATTCTAATAACTCAGTTTCCAGATATTGGCTTAATAATTTAACCCAGTGGTCGGTGATACTTTAATTTGACAAATAAGCCATTTTAATCAAGTTTTTGTGCAGAGGACCTAAGGTGTGTAGACCAGAAAAGGTCTTAAAAACCATATACACATACAATTTTGTACGTCTATTTTTACTAGGACCGTGTGTTAATTTGCATTTATTTCTATAGCTTAACTCTAACCCTTAGCTGAACCTAACCTAAATCCCATTCACACCTTATAACTATACCTAAACATCCACCAGTTATTGTTGTGGGGGTCACTGGTGCCCATGTCAAGTCACTGTGCACAGAGTAGGGTACGCCCTGGACAGATCACAAGTCCATCACTGGGCCACATAGAGACAAATGAGACAATCATTCACACTCTTATCCACGGACAGTTTAGAGTTGCCAAACATGCAGGATTTTGGTTTGGAGAAAAGTACCCAGAGAAAATCCAGTCAGTGTGCCCCAGGGCAGCTGTGGCTACAGTGTAGTTTGCCATCATCAGTGTGTGAATGTGTGTGTGTGTGAATGGGTGAATGTCTGTTCGTGTAAAGCGCTTTGGAGTCCGGAGGGACTTGAAAAGCGCTCAACAAGTTCAGTACCATTTACCATTTACCAATCCATGTGTACATGAGAACATGCAAACTCGACACAGAAAAGTCCCAGGTCAGGATTCTATCTGACAACCTTCCAGCTGAGAGGGAACAGCTCTACCAGTTGTGCCACTGTCCCCCMCAAACTTTAACCTCTAAAAATAGTGTTCCACCGTATTAGAACCAGGCTTTGGTCTCCAGAAGGCCTACTGGTGCTGACAAGGTAAGTGTAAACATCCAAAAAGGTAACAAAAAAGAAACACACACACAGATTTGTTTCTATATCCCCGTAGGGACCATGGATTGACTTACATTCTTTTTTTTTTTGTAATTTTATTGCCTAACCCTGACCATTTACCCTAAAATTAATCTCACAAGTACATTCCTGAGCCTAAAATTAACCTAAAATCAAATCAGACCTTGGTCTTAAATCAAACTGGGAGACGGGGGACCAAGCTTTGGCCTCCACGATGCACATTTGGTCCATGAGGCTGTGTTTTTCTGAAAATTGGTTCCCACAATGTAGCTCAGAAGGAGCTGTGTTAATCACTAAATAAGTTTTGAAAGTTTTCTTTTTGCAAGAAAAACCAAACTGAACAGTCTTATAAAATCTTCAGTGAAGCATTTCCGTGAAGCCTGGTCATTTTTAGCCGTGGTTAAGGAGCAGGTGGTGAGTGAGTCACTGCACAGACCTGTGAGCTATAATCAACCAGGAAAACAAATGCATTTTTATTAGGGAAGCTTTCAAAGTTGTTAGCATTAATAAATGAGGTGTTGCCACCCACTGCAAATAAAAAAAGCTGCTGGCTTGGTTTCTCATTTACGTAACCTTGACAGAGCAGGGGCTCTGATGGAGACACACTGTAATTATCAAGAAGTTCAAAGTGTTTTAAAACTGTGGATAAAGTCTTTCCCTCTCATTTGTTTTCAGGACATTTGTGTCTTTTTCCCCCCGCCCCACTAATAAGGTCATCACTTCATCTTCCTTATATAGGTTAACACACTTCACTTTGATCAATGGATAAACTTTATTAGGATGTACTGTCTCCACCTGTGCACCAAAACATGTTTCCAGGCCAATACGGCCACTTCTTAGTTTTTAAAKTATTTTTTTCTTTGCTGCATCTTTTGGTCTTTAATTTGTTGATAACTATTATAGAGCTTCTCAGCACTCCTGCAGCTGCAAACGTTTAACTAATGAGGCAAACTGAATAGAAAATGTTGACACATGATGCTCATTGCTTCCCAGAAGCAGAACGTGTTTAAAAGTTGCATGGAGTTGAGATATTCTAAATATGGCTTCCGTGACAGTTTTACTTGACAGATGGCAACTGTTGCTTTATTCTACTGCATACAGAATATTATAAGTGGCCAAAATTAGAAGAAACAAAAACTAGACCAAAGAAAACAGGCTAGCTGCTTCATCTCCGCTCTGGTGAAAGACCACTCGATTATCATGGCCTAGATGCGTAAGGATGGTGCACGTGTTGCTTCAGCTTATGGCACAAAAATACATTCAGAGTATGGTGGTTCAGTTCCTGTTGCCTGAAGTGGGTGTTTTACTTATGGAAAACCAGCTCAGTCATTTATAKTAAAGTGAAAAGGCATGTTTGATTCATGACTCACTCCCACCTGTTACCAGTTTATCAAAGGAATGTAAAATTTGAGATAATCCTTTTTGTTATCAGACACTTAAAAAAATAGGTGTAATGTAAAATTTTTGATTAGTTTAAACAATGAAATTGGACAGTATGGGGTGAAAACATAAATACTTTTGCTTTTAACATGTTTGAGCTTGAATAAAATTGTAAATATTTGGTATCAAAGCCTGCTGCTCCTTTTGATTTTTTTGTGACTTTCCAATTAATAAGATACGGGAATCAAACCAAAATTAGAGAATTAACCAAATTCAGTTGTTCAGTTTTTAATTTCTTTTGGGTAAAAATAATTATTTTTAGGCATTATACTGCTGATAGACAGGAGAACACAAAATAAAGTTTATRCTGAGGTCCAACTAATTTAGCTGCAAACTTAGTTCAATATCCTAGTCAAGGAGACTTTTGATGCCTCAGATACTTAATTTATTTGTAGATGATGCTTATTGCTTCAAATACTTCTTTCGTTAGAAAAGTGCATGATGCATTGGCCAGACTATTAATATTTCATGCTGGTAAAGGCATTTTAATTAGGGTTTTGCAGACCTAATACAGTGCTTTTCTTTTCTTTTCTTTTCTTTTCTTTCTTTATTTAGGGGTGGGTGCATTTATTTATTTTATTTTTTATCAAGACTTTTTAGATATTTATTTAAAGCAATTATTTGTTCTGCAATTTATTAAAACAATAAAATAACTTTTGAGATGTATTTATGATACAAAGTAAAAATGATGATTTCAAAATGAATGCACTTCACTCAGTGGATCATATTTTTATATGGTTCCCATAATAGTAAATTGTCTGAGTTTGTGAGAGGTGATGATTATTGTTTTCAAACCAGTGTTAAGTGAAGCTGTGAACTGGGCAAAAATATAATAACTCAGACATTTTATTGCATTTAGTTTTTTTTTTGCATTTTCATGAAGAACCAGTTCCATAACAAAACAGGGAGGGATTCAAACAACTGGATACCAGACATAACTTCCTCTTGGACAATTTGGAAACTGAATCTCAGAACCTTTGGAGTCCACGCGTCATGCACCTGCATGACCGCAAGAGGGCGCTGAACTTCTGCTCGGGGTAACATTAAAGGAACTTGTCAAAACGTCTTGTAAAACACATGACTTAATTTGAATGTATTACCACGTGACAATCAAATTTTGGATGTCAGCGGGCTGTATGTGGGGACAAACAGCAAACATATGAAATCAGGCCAAGCTCATTTTGAAGCAGCCTTTTTTAAATAATATATACTGTACCTGCCCCCCACACACATATCATAGTGAGTATAAAAGCATTAGTTTACAAATTAGTCACGTCCATCCATCCCTCCCTCTCTCCGTCCATCCTTTTATCTCTCTCTGTCCCTTCACCCCCACCCCTCAATTGGCTTTCTTCAAAGATAATTGGTGGCAAAATCCGGTGCGCTCATGGACAGGGATGAGGCGTCCCCGGTGTCTGCTGCTGCCATGAAGAAGAAGGCGGTGGGCGGCAGCGCGTGCAGCCACATCAGCGCGCCCAAGCCCGTCGCGTCCAGATTCTCCAAAACCGGCGAGAGCGGAGCGAACTGCGTGGAGCCGGGGCAGCCCGGTGTCACCAGCAGCGTCGTGATGGACGAGACGGAGGACGGAGAGGAGGAGTGCAGGTTCCAGCATCCGCGGTTGCGCCGAGCCGGGGGGAGCGGCAGCGGAGGAGGAGTAGGAGGAGGAGGCAGTATCAGGATGAAGAACTTTACGCCAGGAGGGGGAGCCGCGTCCTCGGCTTCCAGGAGAAACTCCAACAAGGAGCCCTGCCTTACGCACACAGAGGACGTTCCTGCCGCCTCACGGCCCACTGCCGCCACCAGAGCCACACAGACACCCAGCCCGGGCGATGCTGCCCACCGCGGTGACACCAGCAGAGCGTCCGGGGCGGAGGCGTCCGAATCTGCGGCCGCGAGAGAGGCTTTAAACGCGACGGCGGCGGGTGATGGTCGCGGCGGCGTCGCTCCCTTTTCCAGCATGAAATGCAACAAAAACGGAGAATGCCGAAGAGACTCGGGCACCGGGAGCCTGCGCTCAATCGTCTCCAAGCAGGAGAAGCAAACAGCGGGGCCGGGGCGAACCGAGGACGGAGGGGGTGCCAAACGGGGAGCCTGTAACTCGACCACCGCCAGTATGGACGGCTCCATCACGCCAGGCGGCTCTCTAACCGGAGGGCACGGAGGGGAGAGCGCAACGCCCGGGGCCACCGTCCCCGAGAAAAAGGACTCCAAGGTGTCCTTCTCCAACGCGCCGAGCCGGAAAGCCTCGTCCTCGCTGCACGGCCCGACCCAGACCCAAACCCAGCAGCCGAGGAACTCCGTAACTTTCCAAAAGCAGGAGGATGGACCGCCAATTGTGCCCGCCGAGGACGCTGAACCCCGAGGCAGCCAAGCCAGCTTCATGCAGCGGCAGTTTAGCAGTATGCTGCAGCCTGGAGTTAACAAATTCTCCTTGCGCATGTATGGGAGTCAAAAAGCGGTGGAGAAGGAGCAGGAGAGGGTTAAATCTGCTGGAAACTGGATTATCCACCCTTACAGTGATTTCAGGTAAGAGGCGGGGGTGGGGATGGGGGGCAGCCACTGGTGGCATGGTGGAAGTGATGAGAGGCCCGTGAGGGTCCTCGTTGTCATCTCCAACTTTGCTGCGAGTCCACATGCATCAGAGGCTACCATAGCTGCTCAGGTCTCAGCCCTGTCCCTGAACCAATCTGCAGAGAATCAAACTAAGGGGCTGCTGTTAGCACACTCCCCCACAAAAACAACCTGTTGTCAGGCAGATGGACTTTAACAAAGCGTGTCCTCTCAAGGTTGTAAACAAACCAGTCGGAACAATAGCATGTCTGGGGCGCTCAACAAGCCCAGGCCTGCTACTTCATCTCCATTTTTCCCTGCGTGACGCTCACGTTTATCAGACACGGCAGAGCTCCGGTGGGTTAGGACTGATCGAAAACGGTTTTATTTTGAGGGATGTGGAGTGTCGCGGCGTGTGTGCGCTCTGCGACACGAGTATGCAGGCTGTGTGTGTGTGAGTGTGTGTGTGTGTCTGTGTGTGTGATGCACTCAGTAATGGAATGTCACCTTGAGCCAAGTGTGTGAGAACCTGAAGCATGCTCACAGGAAACACATCCTCCTGTTTGAGTCTCCGGATAAAAACACAAATAACCCGCCTGGACCATCCAGCGGATATTTTCTCATTCAGACTTTTTTTTAAGAGAGTGAAAATCCACGAATAGAAAAAAAAATGCTTTTCGTGACTGTAGCGTTTCCTGCCGATTTTAGGGTTAGAAGAGCCGCAGGTTCATACTTTGGGCTGGGCCCGGACGCTTTCAGCACCACGGGGAAGCGGACAGCTCYTCTTTCATTCCGAGTCGCGTTGCCAGTTCGAGCTCTCCCCGCTCCTCCTCTTCCTCCTCCTCATGTCTCGCAGCGCCATTCATGTTTGGCCCATTTGTATCGCACAACGCCGAGTCAGTGAAGCACTAAAAGCTAAACTTCAGACAGCAGCGTGGATCTAGTTTGATGACAAGTCACTTCAGACACCCCACTTAGAGGCTCCCGCTGCCCTCTCCCATGTTTTTTCCCCCCTGATTCCCGTGAACGCACCACAGCAGCAAAGTTGCATCAAACATGATCCTCATTAGGTGGTGGAGGAATCGGAGCTTGTTGCATAAGGCGCAATATAATGACTCAGCGCTGCACCTGTCCTGCAGAGCATGTGAAGGGGTGAGACGCCCCCAACACCCCGACCCGTCACAGCACCACTGCCTGGGAGCAGTGCTCGCAGTCCACAACTGCTTAAAATCCATAATATTCAATGAAACTTTGCATTCAAAAAAGTGTGCAGCTCACAAACACTTCTAAACKAGCCTGAACCTGGTGAAACTCAATACTGACAAAAAAGAAAAGTTATTTTTCTCATCAGACAAACCCCTGCTATAAAGCAATGCGTTTCTGTAATAACATGTTTAGCTAWATTGGTAAATTGTGCAGTGAGTTTTCATCAACTGGTGAGATGACGTCACAGTGCAGTCTGTGTCTCCATTGATTTTAAAATCACAAATTGCAAACAAATCCGCTGGAGTTTGTGCAACCTGACTTTTAAAGCCAGCTGCAAGCTTTGTGCATGGGTGGGTTTTCTCCCTCTTACAGATCAAAAACATACATTAACTGAYATATGTCAGCAGGTGTGAGTGGGCRTGTGAATCAGGGGTGTCAAACTCATTTTTACAGAGGGCTACATGAGCATTAAGTTTATCCCGTTATAGTGAACTTTGATATTTTGTGTTCTAACTAAACAGGTCTCAWTGCTACARCTGAGCACCTCTAACARACTAACTGAGCTCTATGTGRTATTTCCTGCATAGAAACAGTGACAGACTCTTATAAACACTGAAATGTGCAACGTGTACAACTGACTATATGTCAAATAAATAATAAAGTAGGAGAGTTTTACTCACTGATGAGTTGGAGTGAGTAGCTGCTTGTCTTGAATCCTGAACTCACCACTTTCCAACAGGAAATTCTGTAAAACACTTTGGATGTTTACCTGTATCTTGACTCTCAGAAAYCTGTAATTTTCATTAAAAAAATCTGTAGTACTCTCATGCGATACAAGCGGGGTGTGGGTTGGAAGGACAAGCAAACTGTCAGCAACTGGGAAAGAAAGAACGGGGCAGAGTCGGGTGTAGTACAGCGGTGAGGCRGCAAACTTATTTCCTTAACGCCTGCTGGCTCTGAGACGTAAATAAATTTGAATCAAAGTTTATAAAATATGCATACGATCTGTATACATGCAAAATAGAGAAAACTCTTATTTACGAGCAACCTGTACAGCTTGACATGTGAAATTCCCTCTGGAGGGGTGTTCCAGTTTAAAGTTACAACTGGGCCGCAGCAAAAGTAACCAGCAAAATGGAGATTTTGGCTACAAGCTACTTTTGAACCTATTCACCTCCAATTAGTCTGGTAAAACACCCAACAAGCACAATGGGAGATGTGGTCAAAAAGCAGCATACACTTATTTTGAGACATTACATCCTTGAAGCTCTTGCAGGCCAAAGGAAATGCCAGGCCACATTTGGCCTGCAAACCTTGAGTTTAACACATGTGGAGTGAATGGCTGTTGTGTTTGTCTCTGTGGGACACTAACTGGCCAGTCACCTGTGCATCTTGCCCATTCACTGCTGGGACATGTAGGTACCAGCTTCCCTGAAAAAACAATGGGGCAATAGTGGCAAAAATGGAGGTCAAGACAGAATTACATTTGATGATCCTACCAGGACTGAGTGAGTGAGGACAGGTGTACTGATTACAGGTGGAACGCAGGATTTTTGGGTGGGTGWATGACAAGTATTACAAACTGAGGGAACAATAAAAACACTGCAACGTACTTATAAAAATAAACTGCAAAATCTAAAATGGGAAAACAAACGATATCACCAAATTTCCCAAACTGTGTTGTTATTTTTCAGCATTTTACTCATTATTCTCTGCATGTTTAGACACTTTTCCATCTTCAGCTAAGAAGTCTCTTGTGCCTATAGGGTTTCCACAGTAGCTCCTCTTTCTCGTCTGACACTATTTTTGTCTTGTTCCTTTTCTCTTCCCTAACACTTTACACACACACACACACACACACACACACACACACACACACACACACACACACACACACACACACACACACAC